TTCCTGTGTGTCCAACTTGTCTGGTTACAACTACATGTCTGTTCGTAGACCCATTGTAAAGCGCTGCAGAATTTGATGGCGCTATATAAATAACATAATAATAATAATAATAATAATAATGCCTGTGGACGCCGGCTGCTGTGGATCCACACTGTTATGTATCGATTTTATACAAAGTGGAAGCTTGGGGATCACTCTTCCTGGAGGTAACCCAAATGATTGGAGAGAATTTTCATAAATAGGCAAGAGTTGAGTGTCCCAATAAAGATAAAACTTAGCTTTTATTAGCAATATAAATAGAGTGAAAGTATTAAATTTAAGTGCTATTTAGTGCTCAAGGTGAAGTTAAAAAATGAAATTTATATACAGATCTATATACAAAAGTCTACTGTTAATGATGTTTCCTAGGTGATAGTATCACAATTATACTCATATGCAATTGGTTTCCTAGGTAATAGTTTCAAAATTGTACTCATATACAGTTGAATTTATATTGCTGATACATGTAAATCTGTGCTCGTTTGCTCAGGTCTGTTTGTTATTTGTTCCTTTTTGATCAAAGAGCATTTAGTGTGAGATACTATTAATGATGTTTCCTAGGTGACAATATCAGAATTAAACTCATATGCAATTTGTTTCCTAGTTAATAGTACCCAAATTATACTCATATACAGTTAAATTTATATTTGTGCGGTAAGGTCTCCTTATTTGCAATGGTACAAAATAATGTCAAGATTATTCGGTGATGTTTTGTATCAGTATGGCATTAATTAATGTTTCCTAGGTAGTAGTATCACAATTGTACTTATATGCATTTAATCTGTGTTCGTACGGTAAGGTCTCCTTATTTCCAATTATACAGAATAATGTCTAGGTTGTTGGTTAAAATGCAAAGTGATGCCTAAATTATTTAAAGAAATGCATTTGTAAGGAAAGGTCTCCCTGTTTGTAATGGTACAGAATTGTGCCTAGGTTGTTTGCTGATACATGTAAATCTGTGCTGGTTTGTTCAGGTCTATTTGTTATTTGTTAATTTTTGATCAAAGAGACATATACATTCATTGCCATATAAAGAGCATTTAGGGTGAATCATTTTGAGACTGCTTGATCGATATTCTTGTAGTTGTATTGCTATATCGCTCTGATATATAATAAACACTGTTGCTTTCCCTTCAAGAGTGCTTACACTAGGTTCTAATTAGTAACTTGGTCTGGCTTAGAATCTCTAAAACTCCCCTGTAGTTCCAATGAGTACAACAGGTAGAAAGCTGGCTACTGGAAACCGTTAAGGCTGCTTTATGTTCTAAAAGACTTCTGATATTTCCTAAATGGCTGTTGGTCTTCAGTAAAGATAAGGTATAGTGGCTCAGGATCTTGATGCAAGAAACAGACTGATCCTAATCTGATAAAAATAGTCATTCATGCACTATCTCCCTTAATCCCCAAACAATCCCTTTAGATCCTGTATATCACACTTGTAAATTACAAGCACACAGATAGATACTCTTTAAATAAATGTATCGCACAGATAGATACTAGTTTGATGGATGTATCAAATGTATCCAAAGCTCGGGATCCTGGTTGTATGAACAAAACCGTTCCTATCTAATAATAAATTCATAGATTTAGCTGTCTTCCAGGATCAACGAGAGCCCCTGAGGCGCACCTTTCGCCCACAGCTCCGCTCTGATGAAGCAATAGATTGGACATGAGGGGTGAAGGAGAGGTCGGAGTCAAAGAGAACACTTAGGCAGTGAGCCTTGGAGGTAGAGTGCATGGTAGTGCCATTGACTTGGAGGGAAACAGACAAGGGAGTAGCAACACTTGAAGGAGGGAAGACCAGAAGTTATGTTTTGGATAGGTTCAGTTTAAGGAAATGAGCAGCCTTCCAGTTGGAAATAGCAGAGAGGCAGTCAGAGACAAAAGTCAACAGGGGTAGTGAAAACTCAGGAGAGAACAGATAAATTTGTGTGTCATCAGCATAGAAATGATATTGGAATCCGATGAGTTTACCAAAGGAGACAGTGTAGATTGAGAACAATAGGAACCAAGGACAGACCCGTGGAGAACACCAACAGAAAGAGATTGGGGAGAAGAGGCAGAGCCAGAGAAAGAAACACTGAAAAAGCGCTGGGAGACGTAGAAAGAGCACCAGGAAGGCGGTATCTCGTAGATCATAATTACGGAGGATGAGAAGAAGCTGTTGATCATCAACAGTGTCAAAAGCAGCAGAACGGTCGAGGGGAATTAGGATAGAGTAGTGGCCACAGGATTTTGCAGTGATAAGATCATTGGATACTTTGGTCACAGCTGATTCAAATGAGTGATTAGCGTGAAATCGGATTGAAGCGGGTCAAGCAGAGAGTTGGATTTGAGGAAGTCTGTTAATCTCACATACACAACTCTCTCGGGGATCTTGGAGGCAAATGGCAGTAGCGAAATAGGGATATATCTAGTCTACCTATAAAAAACATATTATGCAATGCATGAACTTTAACAATAGTAATGTCAGGCTTTCTGACTGCCTACCTTTTGGCTTAGCTCCGGGTGCCGCGATCCCCTTCAGCATTCAGTCTGAACAAACGTGCAACGTGTATAAGTATGCGCCCCCATTTAAACTACCAAAAATGTTCGCCAAACGGAATGTGAAATTCAGTAGACTGAATTTGGCGCATGAAAATGACGTCAGAGGTCAAATTAGGAAGGTCAAGTACCTTCCACAAATAGTGGTCAATTCTAAGCAGAATTGGACCAATCAGAAGTGATGACTATTTATACTTACCACTCACATTCCTTGTTGGCCTGTTGTTGTTTTTGGTAGCCCAATAGCACGTTCCTCTTGTGATAATCTGGTTATATTATCTGGCTCTTGTATTATGTTTATACCGCCTTCTGTACTCCTTTGACGTCGGCTTGTTATACTAACTCTGTGTATTCATTAACTCGGCCATTCTAACTAGATTTTCGTTTAGTGATTCTGTGTGTGTGTTCAGGTTCCAGTATTCCTGACAATTAATGCTCTGACAGAGGAATTATTTCAGAACATGTTGACTTTCTGAACTTCGCCTAGTGTCATAATATGATTCATTCTAGTCTCGGTTTACTCTATTTGTCTAGCATGAGGCTAACTTAGAAAACTAACACTAAATTGTTTTCATTGAGTCACTATTCAAGATAAAATGTATTTTATTTGAAATTTTAATCTTTCAGAAGATGCTTAAAAATGCATTTCGGCACCGGGTTCACGGCCCCCAGGAGATCACTTCATCTCCGTACTTCAATACTTTACTATCTCTACTTGTCTCTACATATCTATCCTTTCCTTATATGTTTTTATCTATTGCAAGCACACCAGACCTGTAAACAAACAGGAGGAGAGAAAAGCTCAAACACTATCATACTCTGCCTGATTACGCACTGTGATAAAGTGAAGGCAGATAGGCCTTTTAACCCCAGGGGAAGTACGTGTAGTTTGTGTGTTGCACAACACAAAGTTTTGTTTAGTTATGGGCCCCTGGGGTGGAGCATTTGGAGAGAAGGGTGGGCCAATGCTCCACTCCACAGTTTAGTGGTTTTCTGGGGAGACATAGATCCAGGCCAGGGTTTTTTGGACCATCTCCAACCCACTGCTCAGCTGCAGTTAATGAGCTGTTGCAGTGGGAATAAACCCCTCCCGGCTAGGCAGGAAAAGGAGAGGGATTGCTGACTTCCTCCGAGGAAGCAGGTTGGAGAGAGGCTGTTCTCCCCAGATAGAGAGTCAAGGAGACTAGGCACTGGGAGTGCAGAAAGGAAGCAGTCAAGGCTGGCTTGGAGCACTGGGAGTGCAGGAGGAAGCAGTCAAGGCTGGCTTGGAGCACTGGGAGTGCAGGAGGAAGCAGTCAAGGCTGGCTTGGAGCACTAGGAGTGCAGAAAGGAAAGCAGTCAGGGCAAGGCTGGCTTGGAGCACTGGGAGTGTATGAGGAAGCAGTCAAGGCTGGCTTGGAGCACTGGGAGTGCAGAGAGGAAAGTAGTCAGGGCAAGGCTGGCTTGGAGCACTGGGAGTGCAGAAAGGAAAGCAACAGGCTAGCTAGCAGAGTGTTGCTATCTAATAAGGTTGGTGCAATATGTTTTTGTTAGTTTAACCCTGATAGAGAGGGTTATACAAAGTGAGTCAGTGCTCAGACGAGCTAGGTTTTTGTTTAAAGGGAAACCTGTTATATTTATGTTTTCATTTGCTGCTGCCTCATATGTAAACTTACAAATAAAGTGCCTGGAATGAAGTTGCATTAAAAGACTGTGCATGTTTTTGCCCTAGAGGACCGTGCTACCTGCTGACAAGGATCACAGCACATAGCGGAATGACAGCACCCAGGGGGTGGCATGGACAGAGCAGACAGGAAAGGCACAATGCCTGACCTAACCAGGCAAGCTCAGAATACCCCACACATACGCTTGGGCCACAACAGCACAACACACTCATCAAAGCCAACCTGAGAGTTCATGACACAGCACACTCCTCAACAATACTACCACTGTACATAGTTACATTTTGCTTGCCAACACAAAAGAAAAACTCTGGCGGCAACGCACACAAAGTGCACAGTATGTGACTGATGCCTGTACTAACTATACTACTCTGCATTCTGTACCACATGCAAACAAAAACTTGTACAGTTATTTACATGCCTATATCTGCACTATTGTAACAATGCTTGACTGTCAGAACGAAAAAAAAGAATTAAAAAAAAAAGAATGCATTTCCCAGATAAACAAAAGGAGGATATATCAGATTCTTAGACTATGCCAGGTAACATATTGCCCACTATTGGTAGATATATATTTAGGCAAGACAGGGAGCTGGAAGCATGCTTGTGATTCAATTAATTTTACTGGTGATACAACACGTGCAGCTGTGTTGGCCTTGCTCCCTCCTGCAGAGCTCTCTTGAACTGCTCTTGTATTGGCAGAAAGGTTCATGCTTTTTAATAAAACACTTGCTGTGGTCCTATTGGTATTATTGAGGATAATTCCATGGTGTCCTGCCAACAAATCCAGGATGGCAGAACTGGTATCCAAAATCGTGATTGCTTTTCCCCCACGTAGCTGAGGTTGTGATGCCAGGCTCTTTAAAAGCTAAAAATGGTATCCTTTTCTCAGATCCAAACCTAATCTCATTGTTTGTATTAGAGATCAGTCAGATCATGTGTATTATTTAACATTTAAGTAGTTTCCTCCTGAAATTTATAATTCGTACTAATGTTATGCATTGGTGTTCTTTTGAAAGAATTCCTTATATCAGTCTTCCAGGTTATTTTCCTCTAGTTGGCTTGTTGTCAGATGGTACCCTTCTGTTGTGGTCGTGACCTAAATATGAATATTAATCTCTTAATACATAATAATTAAGCAATACGGAACAACATTAATATTTTTATAATTCATGGTATTATGGTCGAATATGTGGATAGAAAATACACAAAACGTTGTAATATTAAATGTATATTTAATATAACTATAATAAATAAACAGATGCTAGCGGAATGTCAATTTACTACTATAATGATAATACAAAACTACAACATATTACTTACAAAAGGTTGCTACATGTTACACAACATTTTACTTACAAGGCCCCAGCCCTTTGGCTGGGGTTAAATCAGAGCTGGTACTACATGATCAGTCAGGTACAGGCAAAAAGAGAGAGCTAGCTTCTCCTAACATCTGGTTTTTATTCAGTGTAAGTAGGCTGGCCTGTGATGTCACTGCCAGAAGCACAGGTCTTCCTACACACTCCCCCTAGTGGTGCCCCCAAAGCATTACACTAAATATGCTTTACTGACATCTAGTGGTGCGTCTAAAGCATTAAGCTCATTATGCTTTTTTTATGACAAAAAGTCATTAATTAATAAATACCATTACACCTTCCAAAAATGAAAAACATAAAACCCTGTCAAATGGATACATTCCATATAAATCAGGACTGGGTGAGTCTCGGGTGTTACCCTTTATGCAACTCATATCACAGAACAACATGGTAAAGAAAAAACATGCCCATTAAAGAGCCATGTCAGCCTGGAGTGAATGCACATTAGTCTGACTGACAGCCCAGTTATCCCCAGTTAGGACACACTATGCAAAGACCACTGTGGCACTTTTTTGACACTGTTATTTATAGCCTTCTATAAATAAGGCAGTACTATGACGGCACAAAGCTTAAACATAGAAACATAGAATGTGACAGTAAATAAGAACCATTCGACCCATGTAATCTGCTCAATTTTCTAAATACTCTCATTAGTCCTTGGCCTTATCTTAGAGCTAGGATAGCCTTATGCCTATCCCACGCATGCTTAAACACCTTTACTGTGTTAACTTCTACCACTTCAGCTGGAAGGCGATTCCATGCATCCACTACCTTCTCAGTAAAGTAATACTTCCTGATATTATTTTTAAACCTTTGTCCCTCTAATTTAAGACTCTGTCCTCTTGTTGTGGTAGTTTTTCTTCTTTTAAATATAGTCTCCCCCTTTTACTGTGTTGATTCCCTTTATGTATTTAAATGTTTCGATCATATCTGCCCTGTCTCATCTTTCCTCCAAGCTATAAATGTTAAGATCCTTTAACCTTTCCTGGTAAGTTTTTTTTTATCCTGTAATCCATTAACCAGCTTAGTAGCCCTTCTCTGAACTCCCTCCAAAGTATCCAATATCCTTCTGAAGATATGGTCTCCAGTACTGCGTTCAATACTCCAAGTGAGGTCTCACCAGTGTTCTGTACAATGGCATGAGCACTTCCCTCTTTCTACTGCTAATACCTCCCCCTATACAACCAAACATTCTGTTAGCATTGCCTGCTGCTCTGTTACTTTAAGTCATCTGAAATAACTACCCCTAAATCACTTTCCTCAGATGTTGAGGTTAGGACACTATAAAATATTCTATACTCTGCCAATGTGTTTTTATATCCAAGATGCATTATCTTGCACTTATCCACATTAAATGTCAGTTGCCACAACTCTGACCATTTTTCTAGATTACCTAAATAATTTGCCATTTGGATTATCCCTCCTGGAACATTAACCCTGTTACAAAAAAGACATACCTATCATTAAGACCTTCTGCAATATCACTAATAAAAATATTAAAGAGAATGGGTCCAAGTACAGATCCCTGAGGTTCCCCACTGGTGACAAACCCATGCTTCAAATATCCTCCATTGACTACAACCAGGGCCGGACTGGGGATACAAAGCAGCCCTGGAAAAACAATTTGTGCCAGCCCCATAAGTCACTGCGCTATATATTGTCGCGTGTAATATGTAAGGCTATGTCTTGCCAGGACAGATGATTGAGTAATATATATATATATATATATATATATATATATATATTGCTTTTTCTAATATAAAATATTGGTCCTTTCAGGGTAAAACGTTTAATTATACAGTAAGCATACGCACATGCAGACACAGGCAATTTCACTGACATTTCAGTGACACACACAAGCTCATTGATACACAGCCTCATAGACAAACAATCTTACTGATATACATCAGCTCATTGACATAAAAACACAAGCTCACTCACTAGCAGGCACACGCATGCAAGCAAGCTCACTCACTAGCAGACGCACACACACAGCTTAATGTGGTGGTACTGGTGTCTATAGCATGTCCCTACAGGCTTTTCAACGTAAACACTGACTTTTCAGACAAAAGGCAGTGTTTACATTGCTTCAAAGTGACACTGCTAGTGACAGTCACTCAGACGGTCACTAGAGGTGCTTCCTGTGTTAGTGCCCTCCCGCCCTCGCGCGCTGCTGAATGAGACTGGCGCCGGAATATGACGTCATATTCCGGCGCCGGTCTCATTCAGCTGCGTGCTGGGGAGCAGAGCCAGCGCAGCTCGCGCAGCTCCCTCAGCGGCCGCCAGGACAAGTCCGCCAGCGGCCGCCAAAAGACCTCCCCAGCGGCCAGGGGAGGGCTGGCAGCCTTAGGCCTGGGGGGCAAAACCAGTCAAGTAGACTGGTGCACCTGCCCAGGATCAGAGCCGGTGCAAGGATTTTTGCCGCCCTAGACAAAATAAAAATTTGCTGCCCCCACATGTCACATCACAATGCCCCACCCATATGATCTGCCATATGAACTAACGCCAGTGCTGCACACAGTGTGTGTTTACATTAAAAAGCCTGCAGGGACCAGCTATAGACACCAGAACCACTTCATTAAGCTATAGTGTCCCTTTAATGTGAGGTAAATTATAGATTAGTGTCACTAATAATATACTAGATTGCCTACTTACAAGCAGATGAGGATGATGATGGGCTGCAGTTTGGCTCCACTGGTCTGGAGTAGAACAGGATCTCTGGAGGCTGTTTGCAACTGTGGTCACAAAATTCAATGTTCTGGGAGAATTGGAAGCAGCTCAATTTTTGGGGGGCGCCTTACACAGCTCAAGGTCTGGGCCCCAGGGCCTGACGGTGAGTATGCCCATAAGGCCCACTCATAAGTTCCACCCACCCATGAGTTCGCTCACAGGGAGTGGAGTGTGTAGGGGATGTGTTATGTGTTATTGTAGAGGATCTAATATGTGTGCTTATGGTATGTAGTGTTTAGGGTTACCAGTTTGTGCAGGTGATGCAGTGTGTTTGTGTGTAGTGGAAGCAGTGTGCCGCGGCCCACCGGGAAATTTCCCGGTATCCCGGTGGGCCAGTCTGGCCCTGACTACAACCCTCTGTCTGTCACTCAGCCACTGCCTTACCCATTCAACAATATTGGAATCCAAACTTAAAGATTGCAGTTTATTGATAAACCTTCAATGTACAACAGTGTCAAAAGCCTTACTGAAATCTAGGTAAGCAATGTCTACTGCACCACCCTGATCTATTATTTTAGTTATCCAATCAAAAAAATCAATTAGATTAGTTTGGCATGATCTCCCTGAAGTAAACCCATGTTGTCTCTGATCTTGAAATCCATGTGTTTTTAGATGTTCAACAATCCTATCCTTTAACATGGTTTCCATTACTTTCCCCACTACTGAAGTAAGGCTTACTGGCCTATTGTTACATGACTTCTCCCTACTACATTTCTTGTGAATGGGCACAACATTCTGTGCAGTTTTTCTGCAGTGCTGTAAAATGTTTTGCTGATTTCAGCAGTGTAACCCAGCCTCCATAGCCACTCCCTCTTAAATTTCAACATGTTCTTTATTCCCAGTCTCTTGAAAAAAAAGTACCCTTTTTAGCCAATGAAAATAGAGGCATGTCTTCTCTAGTGTAAAAAATGCTCACAGCACAGACTGCACTGTAGAGAAGAAGGTAGAGCTAAGAACAGTATGTGAAATATAGTTTTTGTTTGCCTTCACTTCTGTTTTTCTTTAGTTTATTTTTATTTCATAGCTTTGATGGGCCTTATTCTCCTATCCTTCCTTCCTTTGATATACCCACCCCTGTTCCCAGCCATCCCATATGTGCTCCTTCCCCTCCTTCCCAATAAATTCCCCTCCAGCCCATCAGCAAACTTCACTACCAACTGTTAAGGGTGCTGTTGAGGGTGCTATACTACATTTTTGTAACCTGCCCTAAGCCCAGTGCCACAGAGAAATAAGCAATCAGTCTGTTTGTTAGGTAGGCACTTGCAACTGCATGTTTGCCAGGCACATGACTTTAATCCTGTTCTGGTAGCTCAGTGGGCAACAGACCGATGAGTGGTTGTTGCCACTGAGCCTCAAGCCCGGCCTGGTGGTGTGCGATAATGGGCGAAATCTCGTAGCAGCTCTCGGCTCTCGGTTTGACGCACATCCCTTGCCTGGCGCATGTGCTGAATTTGGTGGTGCAGAAATTCCTGAAAAACTACACAGATATATCAGAGCTGCTGCAGAAAGTGCGGGCCGTTTGTTCGCGCTTTTGGCGTTCTCACCCTGCTGCTGCTCACCTGTCTACACTGCAGCGTAACTTCGGCCTTCCCGCTCACCGTCTCATATGCAACATGCCCACAAGTTGGAACTCCACCTTGCACATACTGGAGAGACTGTGCGAGCAGCAGCAGGCGATAGCGGAGTTTCAGCTGCAGCACGCACAGGTCAGTTGCTCTGCACCAGACTTGCCCTCCAATAGATCCTCGTTAAAGGATATAAAGTGTACTCATTCCAATTACAGGGCCTCGAAAGAGTCCTGTATTGTTATTTTTCGTCACTACCTCCCCGCGTCGGGAGTGGGTAATTTGCGAGCCTGCTGCCTTTCTTGGATGTGGTAGCCGTTTCTCAGGCTCCCTCTCCGGAATCGAACCCTGATTCCCCGTTACCCGTGGTCACCATGGTAGGAGCAGAAATTACCATCGAAAGTTGATAGGGCAGACATCCGAATGCGTTGTCGCTGTCAAGGGGACATGCGATCGGCCCAAGTTTATCTAGAGTCACCAAAGTGCCTGCGCAACGACTGCCGAGTTGCCCACATTCTAACTTGAGCTGATTACTGAGTGGCCACCCTGCTGGATCCCCGTTACAAGGACAACGTGCCGTCTTCAGTTCCCTCACTGGAGCGTGATCGGAAGATGCGCGACTTAAAGCGCACGCTGGTAGAAGCGCTTCTGAGGGCATTCCTAACTGACACCGGGGGCTCGGTGGAAGCACAAGGTGAAGGCGGAGGAGGAAGAGGTCGCCAACGCAGCTGGGGCACCGCCAGCACCTCAGAAGGCAGGGTTAGTATGGCCGAAATGTGAAAAAGCTTTGTCAGCACGCCACAACAACCAGCACCACCAACTGATATGGAACGTCTTAGCAGGAGGCAGCATTTCAGCAACATGGTGGAACATTACGAGTGCAAACGCCTAGACGTACTGACTGATGGGTCTGCCCCATTCAACTTCTGGGTTTCCAAATTGGGCACATGGCCTGAGCTTGCCCTTTATGCCTTGGAGGTGTATTGTCTGAACGTGTGTTTAGCACCGCAGGGGGCGTTATCACAGACCAGCGCAGCCGCCTGTCCACAGCAAACGTGGACAAGCTCACGTTGATTAAAATGAACCAGGCATGGATCCCACCAGACTTGTCTGTACCTTGTGCAGAATAGACATTTATACCGGCCTCATCCAGCCATTGTTATACTCAAGTGCACTTTTTCTTTGTTTTCTTTTTTTATATGTCCCAATATTTTGGGAGCTACCCCAATTGTTTACTCTTACCCCCATTTTACTTCCTTTTGTAGCACTCTAGCCCTTTCCAGGACTTTTTTAGAGCCGTTTTAGTGCCCAAAAGTTCAGGTCCCCATTGACTTCAATGGGGTTCGGGATCGAGGTCAAGTTCGGGTCAAGTTCGAGGCTGAACTCTACCTTTTTGCCGATGTTCTGCCGAACCCAGCGAACCTGAACATCCAGGTGCCTGCTCAACTCTAGTTATGGTACTATATACTGGTTTAGCACTATACTATGCACTTTCTCTCTGCTATAATGATATATTGTTGTATTTTCTATGCATGAATAAAAACTATTTTTATGTGCAAAACCGTGGTGTGCCTTGGGATCATTTCTTATTTTTTATTACATGTATATATCTGATATGGGAACAGATTATCTTCCTTTAAGAGCACCCTGTACCTTATAAACCACACACTTATTACCAATTTTCAGTAGAGCTTTTCCTGTAATTTTATGTTTGTATAATCCCTGGAGCATGGCATTGGTGGACAGTCTGACTGAAATACAAGAGGCAGGGAAAAAGCAAGGGGGGAAATGACATTAAAGCAAAGAAGGAGCAGACAATCTGATCAAATAAAGATTAAAAGTGGTCTTTCTAAAGCTCATTTCCACACTATTTAGGGGAAAAAAACATTTAGTGACAGTAGATTTACTGCTGGGTGAAGGATATGCATTTTATAACCTATATTATTCTTTAATTGATAAAAAAAAAATCATGGAAAAAAGCTAAAACTGTAATCACTAAGCCTGTGATCAACCTGAATCAAATATATTTTAATCCACTCTTGAACAAATCAATTTGCTCAAATAATATTCATTGAATAAGACTCCACAGGTAAATCCTGAAAATATCAATTAATTTGCCTGTAGATTAAAAGGCATTTTATTTAGATGAATTGGTTCAAACCAATGTTTGCACATGCTTAGTAATTACTACATGAAGCTATACATGTGACCATGACACTCTCAAAAAACACTTGCATTCTGTACAAGTACATGTATGGCCATAGGTAGCTTAGCTTCCAACTGTCATGTATCTAATGGAGGGGGTGGACATCTAGAAAACTGCCCCTTTGCACCTGTATAGCGGGTGTGGGTTCTATAATGGCGCTTGGACGAACTTCAAATATACCTTAAAATGCCAACCTAATATTCATTTTGTTCTCATTTTGCTTTAACCATCTACCACAAAAAGAGAATAAATAAATGCAGAGCAATTTTTATTTTCAGTGATAATCATAACAAAAAAATAATAATAATAATATGACTGGATACCACAGTAAAGCGTATTGCATAAGATATGCTGGAAGAGAGAATGTGTATCCAAGTTTCATAGCGAAAGTCTCTCTTTTTTCTAATTTTGATGACATGCTGTCACTATGACAGCACTAATGTTGATTTGCTCCCCATAAACAAACGCACAGTCTCTTTGTTCAGGCAAATCAAATGTGGGATTCGGTTTGTTCAATCCACTATTTTATCACAAGTCTAGCAAATGGAACTCTGCTATTGCTGTAATTTATAGAACAGCGATACGCTGCTCTGTGCCAAGCAAGGTCTGCCTCAGTAGCTGTGTGTCTGCTTTGCCATCTGAGCATGCTCTGCAGTGTGAGAAGGCTGCCTAGTGGATTCTGTATTGTAGTAGCTCCTGAGGTGTGCAAGGAAGCAGTGCTGGAAGTCGGTAGCTGTAATATCTTATCCCTGCATTTTCGCTGAAATAACTCCGCTTGCTGGCTACAATGAATATTTTTCTTCATCTGGCTATTCTTCTGTACATCAAAGGTAAGGCATCTGCTGTGTCATAATTCTTTGTGGTGTATGAATATACCATTCGACTAATTATATACTGTGCATTACTCGGTTGTTTCACAAACGCTGATCTAATGAATGGATTAAAAGATACAATTAAAAGGTGATCATTTATGTAATTATTTATGGCTCTTAAATGTGCCTTGGTACTGTTGCATAAACCCAATTACTTTTATTTCAATATTTATTTAGTAACGTGTGTCATTGAAGGGATTTATCTTCATTATATTGCTTCATTGAGAGCGTCATTCGAGCAGAAAAAAGTTGAATCATTCACTTTTTCCTATTTCCAAATACATTAACTCTTTATAAAACGACATACGATTTATAATACAAGTTAAATATATTCACTTCTGATACCGAACATATTTTTCTTATACCTAAAAGGCATTCATAAAGAACACATTTCCTTATATTATAATTATGTATAATTATAATTAATTATATATTATATATATATATATATATATATATAATTAAATTATATATTATAATTTTTTTAATCTTTATTTTCACATGTCGCTGACATGTTGCCTAGTTAACATCAAAATGCAGCAAGTGAACACATTTAATTTTTTTTAAACACAGGTTACATTTTCTGTCCACAGCCCCAATTGAAATGTGAATTGCTTATACATTAGAAAGATCTATCTATCTTATTCAGTGTTGTAAACTGTAATTCAGAATGTTTGCACTCAACAAAAGTAATGCTGATGGCATACTCGTCACTCAAAGAGATTTTTAAAGGATTTGGCGTACACATATGTATAGAATTTATTTTTTAACCGCTTATGAACTGCCTTTGTAATCTGTATGATGAAATGATGTAGTACAATTGTTATATTCTTTCTTGGTGAATTAATAATAAGTGCTTAATAGTGAATTTAAAAGTGTGGTTATAGTTTGCAGTTGTTTAAGTTTGGGAGGAAAAAAGGGATAAATAAATATTACATTCATTTAATACATTACACTTTCTCTACTACGATTCATTGACTAAAAGAGCTACAAACAAATGGATGAATGAATTGGAAATGTTACGGAAAACATTCAGAAAGAGGCAGCATTTCTCTTGGAAGATCATGCCAAATTAGCTGAAGTGATTAAATGACTAAGGATTGCAGCTGCCTACCTTGTAAGAGAGCTCTACTCTTGGCTTGACTGTTTATGTTCTGAATACTTTTAGAATCAAGGTCAATGCGTTTCTTGGGCTATAATTTTACCGAAGGAAATTCACTGCAACTGTGTTAGTAATCTGAAACAAACTAATCTGAATGATCCATTCATTACTAGAACACTGCAGATAAGAGTAATAATTTTAAGACTTAATTGGCATGGTCAAGTGAGAATGCCAAAGGGGTAACACAACAAGAAGCTCAAGGGCAATAAATATTCAAGCCCGCCAGTGGCAAATTAGAAATGCTTAACCTAAAAAATTGAATCATAGAAATGTTTCATTGTAAAAAAAAAAAAAACAGTTGTTACTGGTGGATATGTTTGAATTGAGAACTAATCCCAGAGAAAAGCGTTTTCTCCAAAGGTGTTTAATTGGGTGTGACTGTTAATTGGGTGTGACAATGTTCCAATAAACTACTTTCCAGTTCATTAGTTGTCAGAAAGTGATGTTACATGAATATCTTGTTTAATTCTACTGTATGACGTTGCTGGATGTGGTTTTTGAAAATTATAAAAATATTTTAGTTGTACATTATAGAGTCCAAAACCCATTGGATCCAATCTTTTAAAGCGTTGAAACCCCATCTGTCATTGAACAGGTACATTTTTGTTTTTGACCTTTACCTTAATTATTTGTGTGGTTTTATCCTTTTTGTCACTCTATTCTAGACCATTTTCCTCTAAAACTGACAAATATACCTAATATACATATTTTGTTTCAGAATGTAAAGGATTAGTTTAAATGGATAATTGTGTTACTCTAACATTTCAAAATTTTTAAAGACAACCCATGTTGATACTAATATATATATATATATATATATATATATATATATATATATATATATATATACATATTTGTTATGCAAAAGTATATTGTTCAAATCCCTTGAATTCAAATGTTTAAATTAATTTTGACCCAGAGATAAACATAATTAGATGTTACTATCAGAACATGACCATCAACTTTGGACACTAGAAAAAATAAGAAATAAGTCGTATATGAGCTCAAGATTCATGGAAGAAAAAATGGCTTCTAAGTTTCAAGTTGGCTTCTAAGTTTTGTTGTGCTTACGTTATTTCTTTGTTTAAGCAATGCTGTTTATAAACAGGTTCTTGTTTTTGTGTTGCCTTTTTATGGACAAAATCTAGCTATCTTAAAGTCATAATAAGCCTTTTTTTTTTTAAACTGTGACATTAAGACAAATGTTAAATATTTGGTAT